GAAACACCTCTGGCGTTCAAAAAACTGCGAAGTGTGGACACAGGGTTGGGGACGTGCGGCGCCATACCTTTATGTTGTTATTCGCGTAGCTGCATTTGAGCGCTTGCGCGAATCTTGGAAAAGGCGTGTAAGGTCTGGCGTCGCAGGCCATGTGAGCGAGTCTTCTCGGTCTCAAAAGGGCGCGCTTCCCAAAAAGCCGATTCTTGGGAGACGATAATCTCGGCGTAAGCGCGCCCCTTCTGGCAAGAATACCGCGGTCAGTCGCCGCTTCTAGCAACCAGCTAAATGGTCCTCTGACTGTGGATTGGCGGCGGGTGACGTGAGGACAGTGCATAGCCACCCATCCGTCAGGATTAGAGTCCGCGGGACGGCTGTCGTGCTGGACAGCGTAGTCATCTCGCGGTAATGCAGGAGGCCCGCAGCCGAACGGCGCCAGCATTGTGTGCGTCCACACAGTTAGCGGAACGTTGTGTGCAGGCCGGTCCTTTCGTCTCTCTCTTTCCGACCGAGCAGTCGAGTGCGGGAAGAAGAGAGCGAGAGGAGGGGACGGCAACAAGTGTTTTGTCTGTCCAATAAACGAACTAAATAAATTGCTTTGATTGGCCGTGAGGAGAATCGGGAGGGGCAACCGAGGTATTAAAACCTGCTTTTCGAGTCCTCGCGGGGGTTCTGGTCGCAGCAAAGAGTGCTCTGCACTATCGGCCCTGCCGAGGCAACATGCAACGGTTACAACGGTGAAGTCTTGTAAATATGTACATAAGTTTATGTATATAAAGTCGAGTTGTTAACGTTCGAAATGTGCTGGCCTCCATCCCCGAACAAGCAGCAGCAGCCACGACAAGACAAGACGGACACCGAGAAGCAACCAACCTTCCACTCCCTTCCGTAGCAACAGCCGCTACGCAGCTGGAAGAGCTCTGCTCAAGGGAACAGAGGGAGTGGGTAGAAGGTTGAGTTTTACTATGGTTATAGAGGAATGTAATGAGTGGTTATGTGTAGGGTGCTTCGATGTGCTTTTCTGAAACAGGGTGGAGACACCGATTTTGTGAACGCCATATTGGTTCAATGGTTCGCATTCGCTGGCATTGCCTGGCATGCAGAGAGGGGTCGTTTTCAGCAAAATGCGTGGTTATTTGACTCAATTGATTCCTTCTGGCTGTAGGGCTGTATGTGTAATGCTGGTAACAAGTAGATTAAACACTAAATATTATGCACGAAGCTTGTGATGGTGAAATAAAGGCGTTTCGAGCGTACCTATCCGTCTGTCATTCTCACTGGCTGGATGACAAAATGGGTCGTGCTTCGACAATGGGTCGTGCTTTACGACCCATTGAGTAAGTTGAAGAGTACCGAAAATGATATGGCATGACAATAACACGTAAAAAACAAATGGCTGTTCATTACATGAAAATTATGACATGCCTTTTGTGGACGCCATCACATACGTGACACGATAAGGAGCTACAACGGTCGTTTAGTGAACTTCATTCATACCAAAATTCATATAGTATGATAAGAACATGAGGAAAATGTACATGACTGTTCATAACACAAAAAACCTTGTCATTCAGGTCCATAGGCCATGACACACGTGACCCGGACATGGAGCACTTACGGCTGCTTTAACTTGATGTGTACCAAAACTGACAAGGCATAATAGAAAAGTATTGTTAATATGAATGACTGGCCATAACACGAAAATTATGACATGCATGTCATTTGCCCCATGACACCCATGACACAGTCATAATGTCCCAGCTGCTGTTTTAATAACTTTACGTATACCGAAACTGGCAAGGCATGATAACAACGTAAGATGAAAAGGCTGTTCATAACACCAAAAAGATGCCGTGCATGTCAAGTGCGCCATGACATGTATGATCCGGTCATGTAGCTGCAATGGCGGTTTTATAAACTTGTTGCGTACCAAAATTCATATGGCATTATAAGAAATTATGAACAAAAATAGCTTATCATAACACAAAAACCTTGTCATACATGTCATGTATAGGTATCACAAACATCACCCTGTCGTGGTTCTAACAGCCATTTATTAATTGTCTATCAAAATCGGCACGTGATAAAAGGGCATAACTACCATACCTGATGGGTCCTTACATGAAAACTATGTCGTGCATGTAATGTATGCCATGACAGACATGACAAAGTCAAGGAGCTTTTGAGATTTATTCTGTGGACTACAAATATTCACATGTCACAGTAAGAGAGCATGGCTAGCATAAATGACTAGCAATAACACAAATCGGATAAGTTTAACATAATCCGGATCAGCCTATTGTGGCTAAATCTGAGTAGGCTCAATGAGGCCAAACTCCGGCATTCAACAGGCTAGACAATCTCAACTCACTCCAAATTTATTTGCTCATGATTAGCCTAATGTGGATTAGCCTAATCCAGCTTAATCAATTCTGCCTTATTATAGTCATACCCAGTCATTCAACTGGCTACGCAACCTCACCTTACTCAAACTTGATTTGTTTAGGATAAGCTGGATTCAGATTAGCTAAGTGCACTTTAATTCGAGCTGGCCTAACTTGGCCATCCTCAGGCACATTCAACAGGGTAGAGTATTTCACTTCAAATGTGCTTGCACGTGACTAGCTCAACGTGAGTTTGCTTAATCCGGCTTAATCCACATGGTTTTGTAGCCGTACTCGACGTCCAACTGACTCGACAACTTGAATTTGCTCAAAATGGCTGGTTCGGGATTACATTGATGTAGCTTAACTCGATTAGCTTAATCTTAATCTCGATTAGCTTAGTCAGTTTTAATCTCTCTTGTCTTATTGGGGCCATACTCAGTCATTCAAATGGCTAGGCAATTTCAACTTACTGATAAGACACTTGCTCAAGATTGGTCTATTTGGATTAACTTAATCTTGCTTAATCCTCATGGGCCAATGTGACCATGCTCCAGCATCCGACAAGCTAGACAATCTTAACTCCCTCGGAATTCACTTGCTTGTTATAAGCTAAACGTGAATTAGCCTAATCCGGCTTAATCCAAATTGCCTTATTGTGATCATACTCTGTCGTCTAACTGGCTAGGCAATCTCGACTTACTCAATATTAGATAATTCAACATTCTGATCATCTTATTCTCTCCGAATCAAATTTAATCAAATCAGCTTAACGTGAGCATACACACAAATGGCTAATCATTTTGACATCACTCAACATTGACTTGTTCATTCGGGATTAGCTTAATCTGGATTTATTCAGTCATGCTTAATCCGAGCGAACATAACCCTGTTGGATCTAATCTACCTCATGGTTATGCCGCTCATCCTGAACCGGCTTTGCGTGATCCTACGTAATCTCCACTAGTCTCGCCTATTCCAATTCATAAGTATCTATCAGTATAGATTCGTATTGACGAGCGTTAAATTGGCTTGTCCAAAATCCATTAGGCTGCGACATAGGCTTTATCTACGCATATCCTGGTTTAACACGGACACCTCAATAAGTATCAATGAGTATCAATCAATGTTAATTTGTATTTATTTTTATTGATTGTTTTAGCTATGCTTATCTAGCATAAGTTATGGTTAACTTGCCTTCACCAAGCTTATCTAAGCTTATCGGTAACGTAGCTGATGCATCTATTCACTCCGCACGGTTTAACGCAAACCTTAGCATCCTGTTTGAAAAAGCAGTTTCACGTGGCGATTATGCGATGCAGCTATAGCGAGACAAGCAAGAATTTCTTCAACAGCTTGCTCACTGGCAGCGATTAAAAAATGCGTCACCACATGCAGCACAAGTCAACAACCAGCCTGGCATATCTCGGTGTTGTCGGTCGAATGCGAGCGGGGGAAGCAAGTGTCGCGTCGTCTAGCGACCAGATGCCGAGCAGCACATGTTCAGTAAGTAAGCCACGCTATCCGACGGAGACATCGCGCCTAACCTCCTCTTTGCAGTGCATGGCTCTGCTGCACCCGATCATGTTAAGAGAGTCACGGGGAGTCCTTAGAAAGTGAGTATTCCCGAGGAGGAAGCCAAGCGTTTCCAAGCTAGACGTGTTGGTCGACAGGGAGTAGCAGCTGCGACGGTCCTGTGCTTAGCTGTGCCAAGCTTTGAGCGTCTCGGGGCAAACCGCCCAGATTTTTTTCTCGTTCCATAAAATGGGCAGAGTGCACACTAAATTGATTGATTTGTGGGGTTTAACGTCCCAAAACCACGCTATGATTATGAGCGACGCCGTAGTGGAGGGCTCCGGAAATTTCGACCACCTGGGCTTCCTTAACGTGCACCCAAATCTGAGCACACGGGCCTACAACATTTCCGCCTCCATCGAAAATGCAGCCGCCGTAGCCAGAGTTCGATCCCGCGACCTGTGGGTCAGCAGCCGAGTGCCTTAGCCACTAGACCACCACGGTGGGGCCTGTGCTCACTAAAGGTAACCACATTGAGCAGCTTGACGAAGTGAGTGTCCCTCCGACACGACTGCAAATAACAAGACAGGTCTAGAGTGCAAACTCGGGTGACACACATCAATAATGATTATTATTTTCGGAATGAAAGCGCAGTAATTGACGATGCAACACGAAGGAGTGCTGAATTTGCATTTACCATTTGTTGAACTTAAGGGCGACTCGTGTTATGCTTCTGTTTCGTGTTCGTCTTTTCACTTGATGTGCGCAGCCATGCGCTGCAGCGGCCTATCTTTTTGATTTCTTTGGTTATCAAGCGAAAGCACCAGTCCTAATGGCGACGTCTCAAAGCATGGTGCTGCGCGCGTCAATCGGGGCGTGAACGACGCTGCGTAAGAGAATGGCAACAATATATGCAAAAAAATGAAAATAAACTGCCAATGCCGGATGTCAAGTGCAGCGACGCTTCCAACCTTTTCCCGTGTATCTGATCAACGTACGTAGAATGCGACGTTAGCTATCAGGTTCCGGCAGGACAGGGAAGAGCTGTCTGTGCGGCTTCCAGGGACGTTTTATAGCAACAGTGAGTCAGATTACGGGCGTCACGTACACTGACGTGCACCTCCAGTGCTGCGCATTTTGATGTGCGCTCTTTCAAGGCAGCTGGTCGAAAGGCCGACAACAGGCGCGGCGCCGTTCTGCAGTCTTTTATCGGGCGAGACATCAGCAGGTACGTACACCGCATCAAACTGTCACGACACGCAGAACAGGTGAGCCCGATGTTGTAGTTCGTACTCTATGGACTCAAAGGTTACGCTGAAATCTCTTCATCCTGGCTTTCCGCCGACCGGTTTAAAGGGCCCCTGAACTATAGTTTTGTACAGAACGGCGTTCTAGAAACTACTTCTTTTTCAGAGGAATGGAGAAATGTTGCCGTTATATTCTAGATAGGTGGAACAATAACGGTAACTCATCGCGTTTACGAAGGAACAGCGGATGGAACGGCGTTACTTCTGTAAACCTTCCGGGACCTTCAGCGGGCACATGCACGTAGCACAACATGCAGAACAGAGTGGATCAGTGACCGCGTCAAACGCAAAAATTTACCAGCTCGCCTGTCATGTCACTATGATGCATATTAATTTTCATTTCAAGGTACCCGCTGCAGACGCCGGAAAGAGAAACACGCCGAAACTGACCACGTGTGTGAGGAACACTTGATTTTTTTAGAGCTGAGGTGTTTGTTGGAGGTGTAGTGAAAAGAAAAATTGTCACCATCAAAAATCGACATCTGCTCTATTCGTCCTCCTCTTCATTTTTTGCTTCGCTCTCAGAACAAGGTGTGTCGATTTGTTTGGCCTGAGATACCATAACTCTGATGGGCGAACAAACTTTAATAGTGAGAGCGAATGAAAGAGATAGAAAAAGAGAGAGTGAGAGAGAGAAATTCTTGGCGAAAACAAAATTCTCGGCGTGGCGAGAATAGAAACCGCTTGTCCGCGATCAGAGCTCTTTTTGTTTTCGTTCATAGTATTTAATAGACAGAGTCAAGCCACCGTGAAGCAATTCAGTACAGAAGCTAAGTCAATCTAGTACAGACAGAGAAATATTAGGCTCATTTCGCCTGTATTACTACCCAGCCACAAAAGAAAAATCGCATTCGTCTCTAGAAGGAGTAGGTAGAGGTAGGAAAGGCAATAGGATTAACCAGATGAGCGTCCGGTTTGCTATCCTACACTGAGATAAGGGAACTGAGAAATGAAAAGAAAGAGATAGAAGACAGCCTAAAAAGAACATGTCAGCTTGAACTAGACTGCTGCCGTTCAAAAGTAGTGGACGCAGGACTTCAGACGTATCACGTTCCACTCTAGATCGTTGCTTCAAGGTGCCTACTGAAGGCTTGCGGGTATAGGACGTAGAGCATCCAGTACCTGCTGTACGGCCTCAGGGTATGATAAATTCAGCATGCCGACGAACACTCGAAGTGTGTATAGCAGTTAAAAACTATCAGGATTGATTTGCCTTCTTCTGGTAACTTGTCAGTCGAAGACTCAGGGTTTGTCCTTGCCGAGGTGCGCTGTGAATCCTCATGTCGCTGCGCCTTCGGCAACGGGAGCGAAACTGCGTCAGTTGTATCCATGGTGTTCTTGTTGGTACCGACCATCGCTGATCTATGTGGCTGCGGCTTTGGCAATGTAGGCCAAGAGTAATCCGCAGAAACCATGCCTTTCATTGCATCCTGCTTCATACCAGCCGGGTACAACTCAGTGGAAAAGAAAGTGGTGAAGCAGGGCGTCCAATGGGCGCTACGGATACAGAGGCACTGGCTTTTTCTGACGAACTTTGGCGTCTACATCGCTGCTTTCTTATGGTTGCGGTGGCCTCGTGGTGCGATGTATTGTCTCTCGCTGTTTGTCTCGATACAAAATACAGATAGCATGTCTAGAGTGAGCACAAAAAGTAACGGCCTTTTGCAGCTATGCACTGAACGTCGGTCAGAATAAACCCATATCGAGCACGATATAAACTATTCAGGCGGACTTTGCATTTTCTTGTGTACACCGTTTAGCTTAGTGACAACCCTAATGAAATGGGATGCTGAGCTAATGATTGGCTGCGCGTTTTTATGCAACAGGCACGCACGCTAGCAGAGCATATCGTTGCAATGTGCAGTATAGCTTGTCAATGGGGTGGAAAGCGAAGTGAGGGTAATGGGGATGCAAAGGAAGAAGGAAGAATGTGTATATATATAGAGAGAGGCAGAGACTGACAAAAAGAAATGAAAAGGGAGATACGAAAAAAGCGAGGAGAGAATAAGATAAAAGGCGAGATAACAACTACAGAGAGATAAACTGACTTTGAAAAGAAGAAAGGCAAGAAAGCGAGAAAATTAGATAAAATAAAGACAGAATTATTGAGAAATATGTTCGGTAATTGTGACCAGGGAACTATACTATATTGCAGATCTGTATCCCAGGTGTTATTCTTTACTCATATTGAATTTTTGAATCAAAACTCATCAAACGCCTAAATATTGTCCCTTTCAATGCGGTTTCCTGTGAAAGAAATTTAATTAGGCTCATGCGTTGGTGGATGGTTTGGTTTCATTATCTGAAGCACGGTTTCTTCACTCTTCTTTTGAATATCAATGTGAAAAGTGTCACGTGTGTTGTATTTGAAATAGACAAGTACGAAAGTTGCAGTTAGACATGTCTGTAGTAAGGCCACTGGCCTCCGAAAAATTTGTTAGGAACGTTTGTTTATATGGGTTCTTTTTATCTACGTATAACATCCTCTCGGTGACCTTAAATTTGCATGATCTATATGTAGCTTCATGTAAGCTTTAAATTGCTGACTTTATTTCGCCCGAAAGATTATCCCACTCTATACTTTTATTGAAAGACACTTGTAATGTTAGTGTAATGACACATTTCTTTTTCGAAATGTGCCTGTAATGAGTTCCTTTCGCATTACAGGAACTCATGACGAAAGTCGTTCCGGAATTAGGAAGGAACGAGGAACACGCTTTCACGGCTGTTTTAGAAAAACGAGTACATCACTGTCTAAACTATTCAAACGTATAAATCCAGTTGCGTTGTTGGTATCGTGCTCGAGTTTGCAACGTTCCCGCTGCAGGACCTTTTAAAATGGTGCCGTAATAGCGTGTACTACGTATACAAGCGTTTGCTGATCCAAAAGCAACCCTCGCTGGTATCGCTCTTTCCTTCGCTACACTGCAATTATCGGCTCGCATTTATTTGTCCCCGACGGCTTCTTCTCGAATGCGAGGAGAATAGGCGTAACCAGAGGTTGGCACATCGGGCCCATGCCACCCTCCCTCTGAACTTTTTCCCGCCGAGGTACAGAGAGCGGTAAATGAAACTACTTCAAGGGGTTTCCTCTTACAAAATCAACGAGAGGCCCCACCCCCCGCCAAATCGAAAACGAAAAATTCTGGCTACGCCCCTGGCGAGGAGGAGAATCAGGGACTACGCGCGCTTGCGAGTCTACAAACAGGTGCCCGTTGTCGACATGACCAGATACGCGTGCTGACGTCACTACCAACGCTATGATTACCGAAAGGACTAGAGAGCAGAACGGGTTTTTTTGTTCGTTTGTTTGTTTGTCTGTGTAATCGTTTTGTTTCTTTTTTTCTGTTTGTCTGTTTGTTTGTTTCGAACACAGACCTTCCACGTGCTAAGACAGTCTTCTACTATAGGAACACTCTACTATTTGAAACTTCTCTGTAAAAATAAAAAATAATAAATAAGCAAGAAGAATGTCATATTAAGGAAAGAGTTTCTCCAACACATGTATACTGTCTGCCAGAATTGTAGAATCACACCAGGTCTCAAGGCCTGTGAATCGCTCAACGAGTGGGTTGCTGGAATCTCGACTCTTTACAAAGTACAGAGCTGCGCCTGGCACCTCATCCATGCTGAGTGGGTACATCAACAATCAACAAATAGAACAATTATGACTTCGTGGGAATTACGCAACTGTACTTGCAGTAAGACATCTAGGATAATTTCAAATAGCCAATTTTACGTACTCAGACGGTCCGTTTCTTAATTGCAGCATGTTGAAAGGCGATGCCCACGATGAGGACTTAGAGGGCTCTCCACACGCATGTGCATTTTTCTTCTTCAGCGAATCTCACTTTATGAGCATGCGTATTTAGGCACCCGACCTCGCTTCAAACAACAAAGCAAATCACTTTTTGTAATCGGGAAGTGTACCTTTGCTTCTTGTGTCTTTACCTTTTGGGTTGTTACCCAGAGCCGGCTTTTGTTTTTTCGATCACTGCTACCGAATATATATTTTCCGCCCCTCTGGTCTTTCGCTTAACGCTAGTTGTAATGATATCGCTTACACTGCCAGCCTTATATTTCCTCAAAAGTCTCCTAGTTATATTTTCAAGTGCGAGTCATCCCTGTTTCCATACAAATTGCGGAAGGCTTTATCTCCTCATCTTTTGTCGTTTATTTTTCTTATTCTATATTGCAATTGTTTTTTTTTTTTCATACCGAGTTTGAAGCTAGCTATACGTAAGCACCACTATACGTCTGCATTCCATGTAGGCGAAAAAGCTTGAGGTCCGTGTGCTTAGATTTAGGTGCATCTAAGAAACCCCTGGTGGTCGAAATTTCTGGAGTACCTCCACTACGGCAACTCTCATAAACATAAGGAAGTTTTATGGACCTTAAACCGCAGTACTTATTATCACGTCTGCATGTCGTAAAATAAAGTGTTGTCGCAGCCTTTTCCTATTGCGTGCTATTCTAGGCGCAGGGTAAAATGAAGGATAGTAAAAAAGTTACGTGGCGTAAAAGAAGGTTACCTTGACCTTGACGCAGCGTATTTTTCAAAAAATAGTTGGCAGCACTACCTGAGGCACCTGAATTTAGATTTATGTGCATGTTAAAAAACTTCGGGTGGTCGGAGCTTCCCGAGCCCTCCACTGTGGCGTTCCGCGAAATCATATTGTCACGGCTGTGGAAGTATTGTCCCAGGTATGTCAAGGGTCTTGTTTTGGGACATAAAACCCAAACAATTATTACGCTTCACCTTGAATTTCACTCTCTATTATGGCAGGGGTAGAACTGGACTTCAGAGTTTTCACTTGGCACTCCCTCATATTTTCTCTTTGTTGCACTTTATCAGTCGCACCATCGAAACCTTTCGCCTAATCGTGCGTTATTGACAGAGACAGTTGGTGGTGACCTTGTG